TCTGCCTCTTTGTTCCACTTTCTGGTTTCTTTTCATGATGAAAATTTGTATTTTTCAAATTATCTGTAGCCCTGTGGTTTTCGAGCACAGTGTTAAATGATGGCTGTACAGTTTTGCCAGTGTTAGCTGCTTTTCCTATCACTGTGACCAGGTTCTTGACAAAGGCAGGCAGGCAGGGAGGCAGGCAGGCAGGGAGGCAGGGAGGCAGGGAGGCAGGGAGGCAGGGAGGCAGGCAGGGAGGCAGGGAGGCAGGCAGGCAGGGAGGGAGGCAGGCAGGCAGGGAGGCAGGGAGGCAGGGAGGCAGGGAGGCAGGCAGGCAGGCAGGCAGGCAGGGAGGGAGGCAGGCAGGCAGGGAGGCAGGGAGGCAGGGAGGCAGGCAGGCAGGGAGGCAGGGTGGGGGGGAGGGGGTGGAGGTGGGGAAGGAGGATGCATTGTGGCTCACAGATGAGGGCACAGTCCATCGTGGCAAGAAAGGAATGGAGTCAGGAATGCAGGGCAGTTGTTCACATTGAATCCTCAGTGGAGAAACAGAGAGGCAGATGTTGGAACCCAGCATACTTCCTCCTTTCCCTGCTTTTATTCAGTCTGGGACCACAGCCTGTAAACTCCTCTGTCCACATTCAGAGCTGGCCTTGGATCCTCAATGACCCCCTCTGGAAAGGTCTTCACAGGTGTGAACTGGTGCAGTTCCAAACTCAGTCAAGTTGACAGTGAAGCCTATGATCACAGCCACCTAAGGGAAATGTTAAAACCTAGAAATGATATGAAACTAGTAGTCCCTTGTTTTCCTTGTAATACAGATCAAAGTGAGCTGTAGTCAACACTTTGTTCTCTATGACATCCATCTTGCAAAAAACAAAATGTTCGAGACAGCACAAGGCATAGGATTCCATTTAAAAGGGAAGACTACAAGAAGAATATATGCTTTAGGTTGCTGGGTGGTGGTTTCTGTCCTTCCTGAGACAATTATATAGAAAGTTGAACCCCTTGAGATACATGGAGGAGTATCATGGATGACTGTGATTACCACATGCAAAAAGAGTCATGTCACAGAAGTCATCTCTGGTTCCAGAAAGGTGAAGTTGCAAATTCAATTACAATACAATTGTTTTTCCTCCCTGGAGGTTATTGGTACTATATAATTTCACCAGAAATAGTTCCCAAGTCATTCTTTGTGACAGGTAAGGAAGAAGAAGGGGTAGAGGAAGTAGAAGGAGAAGGAAACAGAGGGAGGAGTGGCTGACCAGACACAGGCATGTGCCAAGTGTTTCACATATGTTACTTTATTCAGTGCTCATGATGGAGGATCTCATTTCCATTCTACAGGAGTGAACACTAAGCTCAGAACAGTGAAGTAACTTGCCCAAGCCACACAGCTAGTAAGTGGTTGGTTTGGTGTCCTGGTGTGCTTCTCTGTAAGACACTGACCAAAAGCAACTTGAGGTGGGAAGGTTTTGTTTGGCTTAAAAGTTATATTCTGGCCTCCAGGGAAGCCAAAACTGGAGACCAAGGCAGGAACCTGAAACAAGAATCATAGGAGATGCTGCTTACTGGTTGGCTCGGTTATTTTTCTTACACAGCTGTAGTAGCTTGAATGTAACTAGCCCCCATAATCTCATAAGGAGTGGCACTATTAGGAGGTATGGCTTTGCTGGAGTGGGTACAGCTTTGTTGGAGGAAGTGTGTCACAATGGAGGTAGGCTTTGAGGTTTCCTATGGTCAGGATACCGCCCAGTGTTTTAGTCAACTTCCTGTTGTCTGCAAGATGTAGGACTCTCAGCTCCAGCACCATGTCTGCCCATATGCCGCCATGTTCCCTGTCGGGTGCCATCTGTGTTAGCCTCACGTTCCTGGGCCATATGCCACAGACTGGTGTTTGCGGGGCAGCGATCAGGACTAGCTGAACAGCCCTGGCACCATTCCTGAGTGGGGGAGTGTGGATGAGGGAAGGCTATAGGCGCTAAAGAAAAGATGGAGACATAAGATCATATCAGGAGGGCAGTGTCAGTAAATACTGAATGCGCCCAGTTTATTCATGCATCATCTTAAGTAACCAACCAAAGGTGGGGCAATTGCAGAAGACTTCTATTATCATGTATAAATGGCAGATAGCAATTACTTCCCTTAGTCCTAAAGACACTTCATAGCTGCACATACTATACCATCAGGTACTTCATAGCTGCATGGATTATCTAGCCTTCAGGAGGAGAAAACTTGCCTGGGCCAAATCTATTGTTATTTAGATATGAGCCTTTCACCACCAAGGCCAGGACATCCTGCAGCCATTAAATTAATGTCTTAAAGATAATAGGAGTGATTTGAGCTCTTTGAACTCCTGGCAAGCTGGAATAGATTTCCAATATACAGCCCCAATAGCTCCCTACCATGATGATAATAGACTGAACCTCTGAAACTGTAAATGAGCCATCCTCAATTAAATGTTTTCCCTTATAAGAGTTGCCTTGGTCATGGTGTCTCTTCACAGCAATAAAAACCCTAACTAAGGCAAAAGCCCAGATCCATTTACCTAGGAATAGCACCACCCGCAGTGGGCCAGGTCCTGACACAGCAATGAGCGATGAGAAAATGTTCTACAAATTTATCCACAAGCCAGTCAGATGTAGGCAGTTTCTTATTTGAGCTTCCATCTTATGGGGTTTGTCCAGTTAACAGCTGAAGCTAACCCTGGCATCTGAGATTCAAACCTCAGTCAAGTGGCCACCGGCTTCCCTGCTGAGATGCTGAGTAAAGTTCCCAGCCCAAGGAGATAGCATGAGCATTGGAGATGCTTCAGAAAAATCTCTGCTTTTGACTCCTTTTCTGTCATTTTCTTCTCTGAAAGAGAGAATATCAGTCAACATTGTTTTGAAAATGCTTGGAACCGTGGTGGGTATAGGAGCAGCAACCTCAAATGGTTTAATCTAGTTTTGGTAGCTATCAGCATCAGCAGCTAAAAATCTAAACAGCAGTAGATTTTAATACTTGCTCTAGAAAAGCTTCTATAAGCCATCAAATTCCAAAAGCATGTCAGCCACTCACCCTTGCCTGAGCATAGTAATCATCTGCAGGAAATAGCTAGCCCTATTCATGACAGCTGTTAATTCCTGCCAGCTGTCGCAGGAATGGCCTCTCTGAAGTAGGCACTGCCTTCAAAGAAAAGACACAGTGTCCAGGCAGCATGCCCCATCCTCTCATCAAAAATGTTCAGAAGAAGCAATGTCTTGTCCTCTGACGCTTGGCTGCTTTTGGTTAGCATTAGGGGTAGATGACTCTGCAGGTCAAGCGAAGGTTTGGTGTAATCAGCTGTGGGTCTCTGAAGATAACATCTACGCCACCTCAATTTTTTTTCTTTTTCGAGATTAGAATCCCAAGTAGCCCAGGCTAGCCTTAACTTGCCATGCAGCTAAAGATGTCCTTGAATTCCTGACCCTCCCGCCTTCACATGTGCCTGCCTGCCTGGATCCACCTCAGTAGCAGAGGATATCTAACCCATTACCAAGAAAACCTGCTTCACTTGGCATTCCAGCTTTTTAAATTTTTTTTCAGAAAGCAGTGTACTCTACTTTTAATCAAATATGACCTCACCGCTCTAATTAACTTCCTTCCAGGAAGCAGGAAAAGGCATCCTAAAACCAAACAATGCACTATGACTATGTTGGTTTTTGAATGTCACCCCAAACCTATATTTATGGATATACAATCCGGGAATGTGCTTGCCAGGCGTTCATTTTCCTCTAAACACTGCTATGAATAGCAGCAATAATCTTATACTTACCAAAGTTCTGCTTTATCTAGAGTCACAGCTGCACCCCCACTCTGCACTGAGGACGTGCGCTACCTCATTGCTTCAAAGCCTTTGTGGCACTACAGAGTTCACCAGTGAAGAGTGGGAGCATACTTGGCCATTTCCCCCGGGCAGAACAAGGTTCACTATGGCACCTTTACAGTCGGAGTGAACACCATCGAATTGCAAGTCCGTGTATACACACATCTGCTGCTCTATTGAGTTCCATTCAGTTTCCTTTACAAATTCGAAACAGCATGAAGTTCATTTATAAGACTGAGCTGGTCAGTTTATTCAAATTTACAACCCATATGAGCCAGATATTTATTAAAATTATCTTTTTAAAAGTTTTGATATTAGATTGGACTTTGTATAAGTGTTATCAGATTTTAACACTTCAGGATTTGCTCAAGATCAGTCCTTTACCTTTGCAAAACGGGGTGGGGTGGGATGGGGTGGGGTGTGTACAGAGCCGAAGGGATATATAAACTCATAAAGATATGCACAATAATATTTTGTCAGTGATGTCCCCATGTATTTTAGACAGTATGCCTTCCTGGAATTGTCACCATCTTGGTATCTGTGCATGCGCACTGGCATTCACACAACTGTGAAGTCACCTAAAGGTGCATTTTTAGGAAGCACTCCCCATTAGGTGGCGCATGAGTGTAATCTGGTAGACAGCATCACGATACAGCAACATCATTTAAATTAGGGGTCTTCCCTCTCTCCTCCCTCTCTTCTCTGTCTTTCCTGCCCCTCCCTCCCTGTCTTACAACATTAGAGATGGAACTCAGGCTTGCATATGCAGAGAAGGCACTCAACCACTGAGCTGCGAGTGGCAAATTCAGAAGGATTTTAACCAGTTCTGCAGATTTTGTAAACCTAGATACCTGTTTGTATGCGTGAGACCGTCACGTCAGTAAATCATGCACAAGTGGACTTGGGAGAACCAGTAGGGCAGCCTGGCCCCTCCCGTCAAGAGTCTCCTTCCACTGCATGTGTTATTGCTATTCCTTCTGAATCATGAGTGTGAACCACTTTCATGGCTCTTGACCATAGCTAAGATAACCCGAGCTTGCTTTCTGTCCCTAATAATAATTATGCTTCATATAATTATTATTGTCATCCTCTCTCCTCGATAGAACAGTGGCTGGACCAACTCCCCAAAGCTCTATTCTTTCCTTTCTCTCATCTATATTTTCTTCATTTGCAGATTGGATGTGAGGCCCCTTCTCCCCAGGGACAGGCATCAGCCTCGGGGAGTGGGGGTGGGGCAGATTCGGAGCCATCTCGACATGTCTTCTCCTTCTCCTGGTTGAATTCCCTGAATGAATGATATTTATTCCTGCTGCTGCCCCTGGCGGCCTGGGTGAGATGCGCACCAGGCAATGGGGAACGTCCATGACGCTTATGAATGGGACCTCTGGACAGGATTTCTGAAAGAAAAAACAATAATAAACCTTTAATTCCAGATGGCTTATTTAACTTGTAGAGAAAATTAATATTCTCGGGAAAAAATTGCAGAAAACACTGATGTAAAGAAACCTGATCTTATGCAAATCTTTTATTTTGTGGGAAACATTCTGAAGTCTCTGTAGGTGTGGTACATGTGTGTATGACAACTATAAGTGACAAGTGTTAACAAAGTGGACACTACACTGCACTCATCTGTGGGCACTGGCTTCTTGTTATTTTAGCACAGGTGTTTTTGCTTTTCTCCTTAGCATCGCCCGGTAGTTGGTGACATTCAGTGTCCGTACAGAACTGACCGATTTATCAACATATAGGCACGAGATAGGTCATTGACCAAGGCTAAGAAGAGCTCTACAGAAGTATTCTCTGAATTTGGTCACATTTCTGTAGTCTAGAAGGCCAATGGTCTAGGGCATGTCTTTTGACATTTTCTAATCCTAATCACATATCTCATAATCTTATATTCATATATTGGGTATTTTGATTGAAGACTTTCTGAAGAGAACTGTCGACTTTCTTATGTGGCCACCATAGCAGAAATTTGTACTGTGGGACAACTGCATGTATTTAAATATATACACAACCCCCATCTAATCTATCTATCATCTATCACTGTGATACCTTCATCACATAAGTGTAACTTTAAGTGAACTCTTAAATAAATGTTGTTTTTAAAAACCTTAGTCTCCTAATGATTTATTCAGTTACTCATAGTATTATTAAGCCAACCATTGAGCATATTTCAAGGGACTCCAGAGAAATGCGGTCTTCATATATATAAATTAATTTTAAACTGTTAATCGTGGAACTGAAAAGTTTAAAATGGTAAGTGACTACTAAAGGCAAATATATTGCTAAACTAATTAGATGTGCTGTTTAATTTTAGAAGCAAATAGCATAGCCCTACAAGTCACAGTTATTAGGATTGCAATAAGGACAAATATGAAGGGTATTTGTGTAGCTATTAAAACCAAACTGTTCTTTTTCAGGAAAAGTTTCCCAGGTGCCCTTTTTAGCAAATATGTTTAGTTTCTTGAAGTGTTATTAAGCTTCTCCCATCTAAGGCTGGTGAGGTAGTTCAGTGGGCAAAGGCATTTGCCTCTGGGACTGGAGACCCGAGTTCCATCCCTAGGACTCATATGGTAGAGAGCTGACTCCCAGGAGTCCTCCTCTGCCTGCCGCACATTCGCCATGGCACATGCCTGCCCCCATCCCCGCCCACTAATTACGTTTGCATGTTAATTTCTACTGTGACTGATCTTCCAGTTGCAAAATTATCAAGTTTTGGAGGCCAGAGGAACCTCTAAAATTGTTTAACTCAATCTCAGAAGTGAAACCTGAGGTACAGAGAAAAGGCCAGGACAGTCACATGGTCTGTGTGAGCTTTGACAAACGTTGGTGTTTTTAGGAGAAAAATAAAACTTAGGAGGTTTTGTGGGAGGTTTGTTTGTTGTGTTATTACTTTCCAGTGCTGGGGCCATTTCTGTATACATACTAAAAAGGGCGAATAAAATCACAATAACCTTTGCATATTTTATTAAAAAATATAAATATTCAACATTCTCTTACACAACCAAATTGACCAAGGATTGGAAAGCTGTTTTATTATTGAAACATTTGCAAGAAAAAGTTGATTCGAAGAGCTTACACATTTCTTCCTGGCCACCCCTTGAGAATGAATTCTCTTCTGCTGTGACCCCATCCCCCAAAACAACTGGTAACTTCCATTTGCTTCTCAAAAAACTTTCCCCCTTGAGTCCACATTTTCCTTAAAATACTGCTATAAAGACACTTATTTGCACATGGAAACTAAGCACGGGCAATTCAAATAACGCTATTTTGCTACTGCACAGAAATACACTTTGTGCATGCTAAGGGGTGTATAGGCTGTCTCCCTGTACAGAGTCTGCTTCAAGCTATATAAAAATAAACAAATGATATCAGAGCTGCGATATGGTACAGAATACTGTTTTAAACTTTTTATTTTTACTCTTGTGCTAAATGCAGATTCGTTTCGGCCAAACACACCATTTCATTTCCCAATAATCTCCATCAGTTTCCTGTTGCTGTGAGCTTGCTGTGCTAACTGCTCTGCCCTGGCCATCTCCAAGACTTCGCGCAGAAGGTGGAAGGTGAGATCCAGAGAGATGGGCGGCTCCTCGGACCGCCTCTCCCTCTCCAGCGCCTCCTGGTGGCCGCCGACGGTGTCCTCGGCGCCGCGCTCCGCCGGCCCCGCGCGGCTGTCGAGCGAGCGCTGAGGCATCTGCAGCTGCTGCAGCAACACGCGGAAAAAGTTAGCGGCTGCTGGGTCGTGCGAGGGGCGGCTGCCGCGAACCGCTGAGAAGGGCGAGGAGTCAGGCAACAGCCGAGCAGCGGGGCTCCTGTTGAGATTCCCCAGGCGGAGGAAGTATTCTTCTCCCATGCGGATCAGAACCGGCTGAGGCTGCTGGGGCTGTTCTGGCTGTAGGAAATTCAGGGGCTGCGGGGATCGCGGGACGCCGGGGACTGGTCCCCTGCTCAGCAGGGCCCTGCATGGAGGGCTGGGCGACAAAGCCACCAGCAGGAAGCCCGCGGACACCAGTAGCCGCAGCCGCATGTTAGGGGCGCTCGCTGCAGCACGGAGGTGGGGAAGAGCGGAAGAAAGAAGGTGGGGAAGAGAGGGAAGGATGGTTAGAGTTTAGCCCAACTGGTAGGTGCACCCAGGCTTCCTAGCTGACACCCACAGACAAACCCGGCTCTAGGCATCGGTGGCGCTGTCCGCGGTGCTGAAGCCAGGCGCCCGCAAGGCTCTTTTCTGCTTTGGAGACCTAGAGGGGACAGAGCCTGACTCTTCTTCCTAAGGATCTCCCAAACGTATTCCCAAAACTGGCTTCCCTGAGCCCGAAGAAGTGCTACAGGTTTAAGCTATCGCCCGCCCTGATCGCCCCCTTTCGGACAGCCTTTTCTTCCAAATTGGGAACTACATGTTCCCTGTCTCCATCCCTGCCCTCGCTCCCTTTGCTTGGAGGTCCTGGATGGACATGGGGCAGGTGCGGAAGCCATTCTTTAAGCAGACTGTGAGCAGTAAGTGGCAGATTGGGTGGATAAGAATAAACAGCCGTCTAACTTTGCTTTTTGCCACATCACCACTGCCATTGGAATTTTAAGGCACAGTTGGCGACACACACACATACACGCACAGGCACAGGCACTCCAGCACAGGGGCAACGTCTGACTCCGGGGCGCACAACAGTAGCTCAGGCAGCATAAACTTGGTGGCGCCCGCCCGCCCGTCCGTCCGTCTAGGCGCTGCCTACCTTCTCCTTCCTTGGCAGGTGAGCCCGCGCTGCTGCCTCTGTAGAGGGACCTCTCCCGGAACGTCTCTTGCAGGATCTCTTCCTCTTCTCCTTTCTCTTCTCCCTCCTCTCCTTTTTCTTCTCCCTTCCGTTGCCTCTTCCCTTTCTCTTCAGTCTCTCAACGTACTTGTGCTCTCAGTTTCTCCACACCAGAGCCTGGAGTGAGATTTTATAACGTCGACCCTCTTCAGAAAGCACGCAGCATTTGCCTAATAAGCTGACGCTCTCTTGACAGCTCGATTGCGTGCTGCCTCTGCTCCTGCATAAATCATAGGGCCCTGCCAAGGAGCGAGGGACAGAGTTCTGCTATTTCAACACTGAATCTCACATCCAATTATATCAACAGATATTTATCGCCTCCTTGGTGACGTCAACGAGCCCTAAAATGGAAGGGCTCCTTATGACTTGTCCATTGACAAAAATTCTTGAATGAGATTATCCAAGTGTGGAAAACATACTGACCTCTTACTATGATAGGCCAGATAAGGACCAGAAATGAGACAGAGACTGGGAGAGGAGAAAAGAAGCCGTGGAGAGCGAGGTCCATCAATGCCGTGCTGCCGAGAAAATAGCCACCATTAAGAGGGTAGACCTGGACATCCCCTGATGTTTCACCACCCCCGCCTATCTTTTATGCCAGGCTGTCCTCTCAAAAACACAACTCAGTATCTGAAATACGCCTTCACTATGGTCCCACCATCTTTCTGCCTGGAGGAGAACAAAAAACCAGGGGAGGGTGGCACAAAGACAGCCAGGTTTTAGCTTTTAAGCACTTAGTCCTCCCAAGAGCAGATAAAGGAATTGTGGATCTGAAGAAAGAACAATAAGTTCCTTTCTGAAACCCAGCTCAGTGTTTTTCTTAATGAGAAAAGAGCTATTCCAATGACGAAGGGCACCAACACAGATTGTAACAAAGGCCTCAGGTTCAACTCGATCTCAGGCTCCTGTGGGTCTCAGAATCTAAAGTGAATCAGGACTCTTTCCCCCAAGAAGACCATGGAGAGCTGTGTGCATTAAATAATCTATTCTGAGTCTACACTACAAACCTGAGGAGGGAGGCATCCATTCTAACTCATGTGTGGAGAGCCTGAAAACAAAATCAGTTACTGAGTCTGTAAAAAGTTTGTTTCACCTCCACATACTATGAAATCATGATAGCATGTCAAGCAAGTTCTTTTTTTCCTCTTTCTTTTTCCAAGTTCAAATGTACACCAAGAAAGTCGTCAATAATTGCTGTGTGACACTATTATCAAATGGAATGTCATATCTACAAATCCACTCTCAATGTTTGAGTTAAGTGTATATTTTATCTAAGTGGGAAGCAGTTACCTTTAATCCTACAATTCACAATGCTCTTACAAACTCTTGTGTCTGTAATTGCTTCAGTTCAGCTGCTTCATAACCACCACTGTTGTTTATCCAAAATTTCCTGTTCCTTGTTTCTCATTATCTCTGCCATTTTCTCTGTAACTAATGGGACACATAATGCCACAGATTTTAACCCCTGTCTGGGGCCTGTACTAATCTACAACAGCTCTAAAAACAAGAGGAAGGCAGGGGAACAATGAGGGTTTCCAGAGAAGTCAGCTTACAGCTGTGATACACTGGGGGATTTACTTCTGAGAGAAGAGAACAGAGAAAGAATCCTGTCCACTGGGAAAATGTGGGTTGTTAATAAATCATGATTAAATAGCACTTTGGAGAAAAGCTGTGTTTGCACTGATAGGGAGACATCCAGAACCTTCACTATTGTTACTGGGGGCTTTTTAGAAGTTGGGATTCATGTCAATGTTTGTTTGGGGTGGGTTTTTTGTTTTGTTTTAACTTTCATTCACAACTCCCTCCCTGCTTATTCACAAATTTCAGCTTAAATGCCACTCTGGAGAGGAGAAAGCAGGTCAATCAATCCTAAAGAGGATGCAAGAAAGGGAAAATGCCTGTGAGCTTGTGAAGGGAGGTCAGGGAGGTTCTTTAGGGAAGAAGTATCACGCATGGGGCTCTAGCTAACATCCTTTCCTCTAAGATGCCTTCCCATTGAGCCTGTTTGGGATGCTGTTTGCTCTAGGTCCATTATTGCTCTTGAGTCCTTGCCAGGGGGCTTAACTGAAATATAAATGTGGAACATCACAATTTGCCCAAAGTTAGGTCTCGTTAAATCACAGAGTGCTCACACTAGTAGTGATTGTTTGGTTTAAATGAAAACCAGAGATTAAGTGATTTATCTGAAGTCGCCCAGCTGGTGATGAAGTTAGAATGAGAGCCCAGTTCTTTTGACTGCCAGTCTTACTATTTACACAATGTTACAATACACTTTGTGCTTCCTGTCCCAGAAGAGGTGCCTGAGTGAGCTGAGATGAGTGGAATTTTAGTGAGGCAACAGACATACCAGTCCTTGGGGTGCCTTTTCTTGGGTTTTCCTTTTATTGCCAATGTATGAGAATGCAGAAATTCTCCATGCAGTACCTCTTGACTTTAAATGGCTGTGTATGCACACTGCTATTTTTATGTTAGCAGAACCTTGTGATTATGATGTGAGGTTCTAAATGCATTAATGACTTTAAAAATCATCGACTTTTATCTTTTCATAGAATATAGAGAGTAAGGAGGATTCTGGAAATTATGATACAGATGTATGATTGCAGAAGTAACAATGTGAGAGACACTCTGCACAAGACACTAAGCATCTAGGCTCATAAGACTCACACCAAGAGATATCACCTCACTATTGAAAGGAGTCATGGATGAATCAATGCAAATGCTTTTAGACTCTAAAAATGCTGTCCAAAAACCATGGGTACCAAATAGTGATTAATTCCTGTTCAAGATATTTTTTCAATAGCAATGTAACATAGGGTAGAGTTAAATAATATGGATCACAGATTAATGAAATAAAAGAGGAGCAATAGAGTTTGGTGTGTAACTCAGTGATAGAACACTTGCCCTGGGTTCAAGCCCTGGTACCACACACAGGCACACACACACACACAGACACACACACACACACACACACACACACACACACACACACACACACACACACGGGGTGAGGAGGCAAAAGTCCAGATAACTCCTGCATCTCTTTGCATCTTCATCTTCATGCATTTGTATTGGCAAAATTCAGGCAAACAAATATACACTCCAAGTTTGCTAACTAAAACAATTGTTGAAAGTAATCTGCCATCTTTACTCACAGACTTCACAAATGCCTAGGATGGACAAGGGGCTTAATCATTGCTGTCACTGCACTTTAGATAGATTATTAGCCACCCTTTCCTTCTATAAGACAAGGGGAAAGGCTCTCAAGAGCATAAATATCTTACCATGTCCCTGGTAACAACATGTAACTTTTAATAGTCTCTTCTGGTATCAAAGCCTCTCTCTACATAACATGGAAGCATCTGAAAAACACAATGAAGAATACAGCCTGGGTGTGGTGGCATATAACTGATGTCCCATCACCTTCAGGAAGCAAGAGGATTACAGTTGGAGGCCAGACTGAGACACACAGTAAGACTCTGTCAACAACAACATAACAAAATCCCTCAGCATGTCAGAGTCTAAAGCTAATCACATTTACCATTCTGTTATCTGTCCCCATCTGTTTGTAATGAGATCAGATATTTTTTGTAATTGAACAAATACTGTGTTTTTAATTGTGATCTTGACTTTTAAGTAAAACTTATGTTCTAAAAGCCTAAATGAAAAAACAAAGTAGATTTTTTATGTTCTCACCATAGGAAATGGTGTGTAAGGTGGCATGCAGCTAAGTTAGTTCCACTTAGCTGCTCCATGATATATAAACATTCCAAAATATGTTGTATATCGTGTGCGTGTGTGTGTGTGTGTGTGTGTGTGTGTGTAATTTTTATCTGGCAATGTACATTAATCATTTAATTAACAAGTGGTTGATTGTAGGACTACTTCTCAGATTAAGTTTAGGTCCTGTGTTTTTATGTTCTGCTAAAATCATGAATGTCCCTCATCATAAAAGTCACATTTCAATAGTCACTGTCACAGTTGTATACTGTGTGGGAGAACATGGATTTTTTGCATAAGTTGTCTTTTCCTGATCAAAACACAGTGGACACTCCATAGCCTGTTGAATGAATTCAGTAGACACTCCTTAACATGTTGAATGAATGCAGTGGACACTCTCCAACCTGTTGAATGAATGCAGTGGACACTCTCCAACCTGTTGAATGAATGTAGTAGACACTCGTTAGCCTGTTGAATGAATTCAGCATATACTTTATAGCTTGTTGAATGAATGCATTGGTCCCTCCATAACCTAAGTGGATACTCCACAGTCCATTGAATGAATGCAGGGCAGAAAGTTCATCTGAAAATTCACCATCCCAAATAACTAAATAGCACAACTGTATTCTACAATTTCCCCCTTTCTACCTAAAAATATGTCACAAACATTTCTTTCTGGCCTAATTTTACAGAATTGCCACTTTAAAGACCATTTCTCAAAATCCAGTCCATTCTAAGATTCTGGGAGTTAGTATTTCAATGCATGGGTGTAGGGAAGACATAGTTCAGCCCCTAGCAATAAATTTGATAAGCTCTTACTTGTTTGCTTTTGGCATAACATGCAGACATCTTGTTTTCTTGCCTTCCCAGAGGACAAGACAGTTTGAATTTTGCATACCTAGAATTCCAATTATCTGCCCTAGGTTTTGCCCTATTTCAGCAGACTCCCAGAACACCTCCGCTTTTGCCTTCCTGCCAAAGCCTTTTCCTTGGGATCCACTCCACCTTCTCTGTCCTCCCACCCCCTGAGCAACACTCCACCTCATTTTGTTTCCTTGGACATTACTTCATTTTTCCCTGATATTATTTCAGAAGCGTGTTAAACTTTCTACACATACATGGTTCTTTACCAGGGATTATGCTTATATTATACCTTGCTGGAATAGCACTGTCATTTTAGTGAACCTCAGAGAGGGGGACAATAAACGCAAATGCATTCTGAATGCGGTGTAGCAAACAGACTGGGGTGGGGGCAGAGAGTAAACAAACAAACAAACAAACTTATACTCTCTGCTTATTAGGATTGCTCCCGTACAAAGCTGACATCATGACATCACCTAAGGGTGACAGAAGTCACAGGTGGCAAGGATGGGATCCAGAGAATGCAGAACACTCCCCCTGTGGACATTCAAACCACACTGTCCAGACTTTCGTGAGGACAGGACTTCAGCTCAGTTCCCACTGGCCGTTCTCTCAGCAGCCAGGAGTCGACCCTGGATGCCTTGTCCCTTTCCTCAGAAAACAGCAAGAACATTACTGCCTGGCCCTCTGTCTTTCCAGAAGTTAGAAAGTAACTGACCCTGGTGAGGTGACTCAGAGCATCAGGAAAGGGACACATCTGCTTCTCTGACAAGCCCCACTCCTCTGGTGACAATAGACACGAGTGACCTTTCAATTTACATCAGAATACATTGAAGTTTCTGTTCTAGGCTCAGATAATGGATGGAGGGTAGTGGGATGAAATGTGTGAACTTTCTATCAAGAATGGCAATTTGTAGGAACTAATCATCTTATAATAG